CTATATGTTAGGTATTGTGCTATGTCACTAAATGTTTATATACATATATGTTCACATACATATACATACATGCATATATATATTTGTATGTGTAGACACATAGGCAGAGAATATTTAAGCCATGACAGCAGATGAAATCACTACATGGGTAAGGATAGATAGAAAAGAGTCTCAAGGCTGAAACCCTTGGCACCCCGTTGTTTAGAAGTAAGAGAGAAATAGAAGAACTAGTAAGAAACCCTAAAAAGGAGCAGCTAGTTGCTAGAATATAAATTATATGGTATATATATGAGTTACATATATGATACATTTTATATAGTTGTGATGTCCCTTTTATTCCTGATATTGATTATTTGTATATTTTCTTTTTTATTCCCTTAGTCAAGTTGGCTAGAGTCTTCTCGTACTGGTCCAATCAAGAGACTGAATTCATACAATAATTTAAACATGAGACATTCAATATCAAGAATTATTAAACTAAGATAGGAGATTAATATAAATGTGGAAGGAAAAATAGAAAGTATACCCTAGTGTTTGTTTTTTTTTTAGACAGAATCTCACTCTGTTGCCCAGGCTAGAGTGAGTGCTGTGGCATCAGCCTAGCTCACAGCAACCTCAAACTCCTGGGCTTAAGCGATCGATCCTCCTGCTTCAGCTTCCCAAGTAGCTGGGACTACAGGCATGTGCCACCATGCCCAGCTAATATTTTTTATATATTATTAGTTGTCTGGCAAATTTCTTTCTATTTTTAGTAGAAATAGGGTCTCCCTGTTGCTGGTCTTGAACTCCTGACCTCAAGCAATCCTCCCACCTCAGCCTCCCAGAGTGCTAGGATTACAGGCCTGAGCCACCATGCCCAGCCCTACCCTAGTGTTGGGGAGAGTACTCAAAGAAAGACAAAATTGGAAGGGTGATTCCTTACCAAAGCTGAGGTTCAGACCTTAGAAAAGGTGTAGATGCACACCACCAAATGATGGAGAACTGTGTTTCTGGGCAGTGAAGATCTGTAGTCACTGAACAAATAGGAAACAATGTTCCAGGGTGCTGGTGAGGCAGAACTGCTGGACAGGTGAATAGCATGAGTTGGGACACTGCTGCAGCTGTGAGGCCTGGAGCATGAAGTGTTCATATATGGGAAGGGCTGCAGAGAACAACTCTCTGGGACACAGCTTTGTCACTGCTGGCAGGCAAACATGCAAAGGGAGTTAGGGTGTGGCTGTAGATGTAAGACCTGGAGCAAGTGGTGTCCATATTCTGAAGACCACACAAAGGTAGGCTCTAGAGATGAGTCACAACTGCACATTGACTGAAGGACCACATGCTCCTGGATGTCCCCACACACCTGCATCACTGAGTGACAAAAACAAAACAAAACCCACAATACACCAGTAAGAGAAGCCTCCTTCCTCCTGCAATTCCTCCATCCTTCTACTCTCTCTCTTCTACTCTCAAATCTTAACATACTGTTCACTATAAAGGAGGAGTACTCAACTGTCCAGTGCATTTCTGCATAGCAGTCACTGTAGGGTAAATTCAGAGATGAGAAGCAATGAATTGATAGCTGCTACAGTCCACCCTTTGGCTATTCAGTTTCCATATGTACCCTCTACACACATTTGAATTGACTCGAAACATCTAAATGATCTAGATTTCTACATAAGAAAATAGAACTAGCATCCTTTTAAGTGAAGAAGTTCTCATCCTTTCCCCAAATGAGAGAATGCGTAGTCCAAAAAGTCATTATATCCATAGATGGCTGTATGAATTACTCTTCAAACTCAATCATAGTATCACTGAATATTCTGTTATTTAAACACTGAATTGTAAAGTCAGCCTTCAATGATATGCATATAAAATAAAAATGGGAAGAAAGAGAAGAAAAAATTGTATATGCAAATTAGCACATGCATATATCAAGCAAAGAGAAAATATGAAAAGCTACTACAGTTTTTGTTTCTCTAATTGCTCACAAAGTAGTAGTCGATATCTATGACTATTTTCTTCAACTGGTAGTTGAAAAAATTCCTATTTCTTTCGTCTTCATCTGAACTTCAGATGTTCTTAGTTTTTTATATGGCAGAGTGCTCCAAACTTTTATTCCTGAAAGGTATGATTGCTCAATCATCCTGGTTTTAGGGGGTTGCTATAGTTTTCCATTTACTTTTATTATCGGACATGGAGGTACCAAGAAGCACCCCAGAGAATCTCCTGGACTCCAGATATAGTCTTTCTTGACTACATTGTGTAGCAGCAACCACATTTCGTCTTGGTAATCTGCATGCATCACACGAGACAGTAACTAGCCTCCTTTTTGCCTGTTGGTTCAGTGGCATTAGAAGCCCAGTATGTTCAGGTGGTAGTCTTAACTTCCAGCTCAGTGTAACTATTTTATGTTTCTTTGTGGAAACAGGTGATCTTCAAACCAACAGAGCTCAAAGTTGCTGGAATGAGAGGCAAAAATGCTGTGAGTTAATTAGTAGATGTAATATTTCACCTTTCCAGTAGACTAGCAGCTTCTGGGTTGTGTCATAAGACCAGTTATTTGCATGGATAGCATTCTGTTGCTGCACACTTTCTTTACTGTGAGGTGAGTTCCTTGGAAATACACACAGTCATACACCACGTAACTACATTTCAGTGAATGATGGACCACATACACCACAGTGGTCCCCTAAAATTGTAATGGAGCAGAAAAATTCCCATCTCCTAGTGACATTGCAGCCTTCTTAAAATCATATCACAATGTATTACTCACATATTTATGGTGATGCTGGTGTAATCAAACCTACTGCACTGCTAGTTGTATAAAAGTATAGCATGTATAATTATGTATAGTACATAATACTTTATAATGATAATAGACAACTGATTTACAGATTTAGGTATTTACAATATTTTATATTGTTATTTTAGAGTATACTCCTTCTACTTATTAAAAAAAATTCTGGTATATACATACAATGGAGTATTGTTTAGCCAGGAAAAGAAATGAAATACTGATACATGCCACAACTGTATAAACCTCAAAAACAGTATAGTAAGTGAAAGAGGTCAACCACAAAAGGTCAAATATTATATAATTGCATTTATAGGAAATGTCCAGAATAAGCAAATCTATTGAGACAGAAAGCAGATTGGTGGTTTTCAGAGGCTGGAGTAAGGGAAATGGGTATCAACTACTTAATGGATACTGGAATTTCTTTTGGGGTGAAGATGTTTCAGGACCAAATAGAGGTGGTGATTGTACAACATTGTAAATGTACTAAATGTCACTGAATTGTTTTCTTTAAAATACTTAATTTTATGTTATGTGAATTTCACCTCAGTAGCAAAAAATCAGCTCATCCAACTAATGTGTATGCAGAGGATTTAGAGACCAAACTTTGGTCAACCAATCTTCCCCTGCTCCCCATGTCAGATGGGTAATGTGACGACTTGTAACAGGGTTTGTTTGAGGGAGGCACATCTCAGACATCCTGGTGAACACCCAGTAATTATGCTTATGAACCACAAAACGATCTAACCAATCTTAATCATATAACAAAGGGCCTTTAAAGAACGTGGTCTGTAATTCTTTGGTATTCTCTCAATCTAAATGCCTCTGGAGAGTTAATAGAAAGAATTGAAATAACACCATACCATACCCACTGCACGCCTTACTGCACAAGTACACTTGTCTAGTTTAAGTCACTTTATCTCATTCCCTACACCTCTCTAGTTTCCTGTCTTGATTATTTCTTCCCATCCATCAGGAAACAGAGTTACAATGTAGGTTGAATTTCTGGTTCTGACCCATTCTGGTGGCTGTTGTGCATTACTTTATTTACCAAGTTTGCTTACAACTGTAGTGTATATTTTAAATACCCTGACCAACCAGGAGACAGGTATGAGGAATTTTATTGTTTGTTTGCTCTGGACTTTGCAGAATTTCTGCAATTTAACAATTGCAAACCGACAAATACAAATTTGGGTCCTTCCCACTACGTCCAGCCCAATGCTAACTGATCTCAGTGCCCCAACACTCTTCTGCAGCCCAATTCTAATGGTTTTCCATATTCCATACCTGGTAGCAGGAAGAGAGATCCTGTTGGAGAGGGAAAGAGGATCAGTGAATCCATCACAGAGAAGGCTGCATTTGAGCTGGGCCCTGACAGGTGGGCAGAGTTGGAGGCAAAGGACATTCCAATAAGAGGCAATTACGCAGAAGGCATGATTGCTCTAGTACAGAGGCATAAAGCATGCACGTTGGTGACAGAGGGTCATGGATTCAAACTTTAGTATGCACATTTCCTAGTTCTTAAGATCCCATTCCTCACTCCTACCACACTCCACACTTATTCTCTTGATTGTATGACACTCTTCTAACTACCCGTGCCCAGTTAGATAGTTGCCTGTTCTGTGTATCTGGTTTTTAATGGCTGCACTCCTCCCCACTTAATGCCCTTAATTCATATGTGCAATTGTTAGGCGAACAGCTATTTAGCTCATTTTTCATTCCAGATCCCTGTCCTGACATCACCTCCGTTCCTTTTCCCAAAACATAAGTGCTGGAGAGTGGGGGGTTGAATTTCCTGCTAAGTCCAGTCAAGTATCTGGCTTGAATCTGATCCCAATGGCAGAAATGCCAGGGAATAACTTTTTAGAAAAAGGCAGCTATGAGCAGAAAGCTTAAAAGATGGTTGGTGGGTTATTTGAATTCATTGCTGGGACTGATCATGAACTCTGGTGTAAGTAACTTTGGGGCTAAGTTTACCCTGTGCTTCCCACAATTCCTGCAAATCCTACTGAAGTGCAAAAATGCCAACCTCTAGCCCTTCCCACCTATAAGGAAAAAACACGGGTGGTATGGGTAGACTATTCAGTTAATAGAATAGGTGGGAGTAGACAGTACCCTGCCAATCATTTCAGCCACAACCAATCAGGATCTTTGTAGGTGGGAACCATAGACTGGCTATAAAGAAAGCCGACCTTCACGTGCCGGGGCCCATTTTGTCCTGGAGTGTGAGGTGAGCACGTGGGCACGCAGGCACGCAGGCAGGCAGGCACGCGGTGGAGCTTTCGCCTCAGGGGCGAAGTGGCAGTTGCTACTGCTTCCACAAGCTGTTTTAAGGTTAATTTTCTTTCTTTCTTAATTGTTATTGATAGTTGGATATTTTTAGTATGCTTTTTATAAATGGCTATAAGGAATGTCATAATATACTTTAGTAATATTATTATTAATAATATACTTTAATAGTCTGAAGGGCTTTGGCCAATTTGGATTCATTACCCGACTTTGGTCACAGTGCTTCACTTTTTGTGACGTGATGACTCTTTAGTATTTTATTTGTTTAAATATTGGTTTTGGTCCTCTCTTGTATGTGGTCTTAAGATTTTGTGGTGCTTTTAGCTTAAAAACGAGGAAATGGATGGTGCTGTTGGTTGAGCAAGTATAAGGACAGCACAGTGGCTGTAGGGGAGCTGACTTTGCCTTTTGTTTTACATTTTTGGGTGGTTATTGATGCTGTGTATTTAAATCTTGGTCGTGGCTTCTGTGTTATTTTCTACATGGAAAGAGGAAACGTCACACGTGGAGGGATGGGGGTGATTGGTGTACATTTAATGGCTGTTAATAGCCTTTGAGTAAAATTTTGTGTGTGTGTGTGTGTGTTTTCATTTTTAATATTTCTGTGGCCGGGCACGGTGGCTGTAATCCTGGCACTCTAGGAGGCCTAGGCGGGCGGATAAGTTGAGCTCAGGAGTTCGAGACCAGCCTTAGCAAGAGCAAGACCCCGTCTCTACTAAAAATAGAAAGAAAAAATTAGCCGGGCATTCATGCCGTAGTCCCAGCTACTCAGGAGACTGAGGCAGGAGGATTGCTTGAGCCCAAGAGTTTGAGGTTGCTGTGAGCTAGGCTGACTCTACAGGCTAGGCAAAAAATTCTGTGGTCAATTTGGAATCAATCCTCTCTCATATGCTGATTTTAAAAAAAAAAAGTTTTCTGAGGTTTTAAAATGCCGGCTGGTCAGTGCAAGAGTTGTTCTTTGAAGCCTTTAAATAACCTTTGGTCATCATTAATGCTGTTTTGCATTTTTATACAATACTTGTGAATGTAATTTTATATTCAACCAAACGTGGTCCTGATGTTTGTGTATTTTCTTTTAAATTTTTGGTCTTACTTGCACTTGATGTCTTACAAACACAGCAGATGCCCCTAAGCCTCTCTTTGGAAATATTAGACGCAGTTTGGCATTTTAAAAAACAAAACAATTTACAAAACAAATTGTGTTCATCCTCATTGTATTCAATTAAATTTTGGTGTTAGGCATTTCATAGGTTTCTTACGGAAGGTTCTGTGCAAGTTTGAATTTACAGTAGAGGAAATTAACGGTCTGATTGAGTGCATTTTATTTTATAATAGAATTGAATATTTTCTATAATTTTTTTTGTCTAAATTCTGGTCTTGTTCCTGCTTCATTAATTTCCTTGAACATAAGCGTTTTGGAGTACTCTTGATTTACAAATGCAGAATTTAATCATCTGGTTGTGCCCTTAACGTTTTGTGGCAGTGAATGCACTTAAGTGTCTGTCATCCGCTGCAATTTAGTGGAGTTTGGAATTTTATTTTACAGAGGAATTGTGTGTTTAGTATTATTTTATTCCATTAAGTGTGGGTCCTAGTCCTTTTCAAAAGCTTCATATAAGAAAATTTTGTGTTCAATTCACAAATAAGGAAAAAGGTTTTCCAATTGAAAGAATATTTTGTGGTGTTTTCAATGTAAAAATGCACTCATTGACAATCTGGCTGAGCGTGGGTTTTTTTTTAAGGACAGTAAAAGCACAAAAGTGCTGGTCACTGGTCCCCACAGAAAGTTTTTTGGGATTTCATGTTCCACAACTCAGTGTCAAGTATCACGTTATTCATTTCTGTCCCTGGTCTTTTGCCTGTGTTTTCTTTGAAGAGTGTGGGGCATTTTAATGTATAAACGAGGAAATTAGCTGTAAGATTGAATGCTTGGTGTTTTGTGGTAGTGAACAGCCCTTAGAAGTTAGGTTGCATCACTTGAATTTTATTTTACAATGTAGTTGTGTGTTTAACATAATGGTCATTTTTAAAAATAGGCCTAGGTCCTCTTTCCCAGGTGTTTCTTTATACAACAACAACAAAATGATTGTGTAGTTTCTATTTACAAACAAAGAGGACAGCAGTTGTCCAGGGCCAGGTTAGTAATGACAGAAAACGGCCGTTAAAAAAAACGGTCAGAAAATAACGGTTAAAAACCGCCAGAAAACGGCGGGAATAGGATTCTGCTCCTATCCCGTGATTCTCCTCCATTCTCCTCCTATCCCGTGCCCGCGTGTGCTGGCCCCGCCCCTTTCCCTCGTGCCTTGCGCATTGTTGAAACTGTTACTTCGAGTGTAGCCATATTAAGTTGGCAACGCCCACCGAGTGCAACCATTTTAAGCTGGCAGCGCCCGCCTTTGCGTGGCACCTATCGTGTATTCAAGGGAAGAATTAAAGAGAAACTTTTGTCTCTCTCAAAAACCTGAGGAACATAGTCACTGAGAGGAATGTGATTCTTTGAGGTAAAATACAAGTACTTTTCTAAAATGGTGCTGGTTGAATTTGCTTTTTAGTCGTCTGGCTTATTCTTGATCTTCACTTGAATTATATATATTGTCTAGTATCTAAGTGACTTTCCACATCTTTATTAGTGGAACATTGGTGTTCTCTAAATATTATCCTCCTGGATTGCATTTAGGAACTAGAAAGATCAATTAATTGTTAATAAGAATGAATGCTGCCTTTGCCTTTAATACTGTAAAGGTACCAAGATTTTAGGAAATGGGGCATTGACGAGCCTCACCAATCCTGACTTTTCTATCAGAGCCCTAGCCCTTGAATGATATCTAACCCTGGAATTTAGGTCCAGGCTTCAAGTTTGAAGGTGCTTTTATTGTATCCGCTTTGCCCATATAATCCTAGAGGAGATATTTCTCAAAGAGCACAGGCTCAAAAGCCAATATTAACAAATGCAAAATTTATTTTATTGTTATTTCTTTGAAGAGCTATATTTAGTATTAGAGGGTAACAACATTATTTAATGGTTGGAATTATTTACTAAATTATCCTGAGTGATACTACCTTTTTTTTTTTGAGACAGAGTCTCGCTTTGTTGCCCAGCCTAGAGTGAGTGCCATGGCGTTAGCCTAGCTCACAGCAACCTCAACCTCCTGGGCTCAAGCAATCCTCCTGCCTCAGCCTCCAGAGAAGCCAGGACTACAGGCATGTGCCACCATGCCCGGCTAATTTTTTCTATATATATATATATTAGTTGACCAATTAATTTCTTTCTATTTTTATAGTAGAGATGGGGGTCTCACTCTTGCTCAGGCTGGTTTCGAACTCCTGACCTCGAGCAATCCGCCCGCCTCGGCCTCCCAGAGTGCTAGGATTACAGGCGTGAGCCACTGCGCCCTGCCTGATACAACCTTTTTAATGCCCATCCTTTTGTTACTGTTACTGGTTGCTGACATTAATACACCATGAAATGCTACTGTATAACCTGGTGAACAACTCAACCTCCCATTTCAAAGGCTTATTAATCCATAATCCTGCATGAGTCTTTCACCATATTATTGAATCGAATGAACTGACTTCTTTCAGATTTCCCCTTCTAGAAATTGAGAAACATTGCCTATTAGCCTAATGTATAATTCCCCTGTGTTGTTTGATTAAAGCACGATGAATTATAGTTCATTTTCAAAGTATGGTCAAATCTCTTAGGTAGTAGTTTTATCTGATCTTGTAACCACAAGATTAACACAGTCCTTATCTTACTTTTTTTTTCACTCTGCATGATTGGGTACCCTGGCCCAATCAACCATTTTCAGAAGTTTCTCTGAAAGGGTGGGGGAAGTGTGCCCCAGCCACCCACATAAATGAGTTTCCAAGTTACATAATTTTCTTCAGTGGTGCTAAGCTGTCCACCCACAGGCACATCTCTTGGCAGATTGGTACAGTCACTATCTCCTTTAGGACCTAGTTCAGTACTGGCCAGCCTATGGGCCTCTAAGGTGAAGAGGGTGGAACTGGAACCAATTGTCAAGACCACCTGGACAAGTTCAAGGCATCCTTATGTTGTGTGAGATGAGGGGTGTTTTATGGAGGGAAGGAGCACCCCTCATCCCCCCTCCCTTTGTGCCATTATTAATGAAGCCGTTGAAACTTCCTCCCAGAGTCTCTGGAGATAGGAACTACCAAAAGTGGTAGGGTTACTCCCTAGATACTGTTGACTAACTCCAGAATAGACCCTGTTGCTACAGTCTGTTACTGTAATCAGACAGGGGCATCTTTTTCTAGTCATTATTTGTGTTCCTTTTGTATACTGTAGATGCTGTTGTCACAGAGCCACTGACATAATTAAACTATTCTGATTTCAGAGAACCCTGATTTTGACTTTTTAAAAGTCACAGAGTCTTTATTTTTATTTTTGGAAATCCAGTAGGATGGATTGGACTTCACTGTAGAAAATCTTCAGGAGTTGAGGGAGTTGTGGAGTGCTGCTTCAGGTGCCTTTGTTTCAGGTATGAGAACATGGATATGAAGGTAATTTGAAAGCCAGTTACATCTATGAAACGGGGAGGAGGTGGGGGGTAGGACCTTTAGACCAAGTGGGTGGCAGGGAATGGTAGTCTGCCAGTCTACCCCATTTGTGGTACTTATTTGGTGGAGGTCCTTAAAGTAACATGTAGGTCAGTACTCCTCCAAATCTCTACCTTTCCTATATGTTGTCCATTTCCTTGCTTTGTAGACGTTGCTGGTACTCCAAGGCTCCAGTCTCCAAGTGTGAAAGGTGCTTGGCTCATTTTCACTCTAAGGCTATTGCCTGGCAGCTCAGCTGGTTTCTAACATAGTATTTTCGCACTTTGTGGCACTGTCAATGAATCCAGGCACAGGAAACTGGGGGCAAGGATTTGGGGTTTGCATGCTAAGGCTCTTTAACTACTGTTTCCTGTCTTATCACACAGAAGTAATACAGTGAGATGAATGGATTTGGGTGAGTTGATCATGACAAAAAGTGCTAGTATTGATGGTATAATAAATGCTCTCTCATCCCTGACCAGGTGATAGTCTGTGCTCCATACAGCAACAAAACAACAAGGCTTGATTGGTGAGCTTTCCTGTATTTGGTGCTGTTTCCCCCAGATTGTTATCTGCTGTTTTCTTTCAGATGTGTGGAGGTCCTGTATCTGAAATTGATTCCACCTTTGCTGTCAATTTTCTGGCAAGGTATGCAGTAACTGGATCAGGATTCCTTTCTGGTGAGTGATACAATTTCATATCAATTTGAGATTCAAGCTTTCAGTACATGGAAATACCAAATTTCAGAACAGGGGACCCTCTAACCAAAGTTTACACTTTCGGAGTTTTGGTCCACTGTGGCATATATTCTGGAATGTGATCTTCCCTTGCAGCCATTTAACTTGTACTTATGACTTGTACTTATTAGTAACATCTGCAGAATAAATTCCTGCATTATGTAGCTCTAACTTTTGGTGCCTTTTAGTTGCTTCTTGGGTCACTTTGGAGTCAGTCAGACCTCAATTCAAACTTGATTCACCAGTAACTTTCTATCTTTAGTTCCTAAATAATTATTTGAACCTCACTTCTCCTTATTTGCACAACTGGAATCTTTGCTGTAAGGGACATTGTGAGAATCAAATGTAATAATCTTTGTAAGGCATCCCATTCATAATAGTTCCTCACAAATTAATCCTTCATTTCCTGAATGTGCCCATTGGAGCAGGACATTACAATGCTTGGTTTAGCCCCTCTCTCTGCCTCCTTTCTTTAATTATTTTCTTTCCTTTCTCAGGTATAGCACATTCCTTGTAGGTTACACTGGCTTCTCTTTTTGGAAAACAACAATCCTGTAATCTTCCGTGAGGCAAAAGGTGGCTGAGGAACCCAGATATTTTCCTTGCTGTGAGGTGAGTTCTGTTCTGGCCAACTTGGACACATTACACAGAGGCTGTTGTGCTCAGCACCCAGCAGGACTCCTGCTGTGTGGCCTAGAGGGTACCTATTAACTGGTAGTCCTATAAATTTCTTTCTTTGCCTATAAGAAGTCACTTATGGGCTGTGATTAGTTCATTGAAGAATAAGTTAAGACATTTGACAATGTAAGTAATAGAGGAAAAAATGCTAAATATAGATAGGCACTATCCTCAGATGCTCTCTGAGAGCATCTTTAACCATTAGTCTTTTTTTTTTTTTTTTTTTTGAGACAGAGTCTTACTCTGTTGCCCGGGCTAGAGTGCCATGGCGTCAGCCTAACTCACAGCAACCTCAAACTCCTGGGCTCAAGCGATCCTATTGCCTCAGCCTCCCAAGTAGCTGGGACTACAGGCATATGCCACCATGCCTGGCTAATTTTTTCTATATATTTTTAGTTGTCCAATTAATTTCTTTCTATTTTTAGTAGAGACGGGGGTCTCACTCTTGCTTAGGCTGGTCTCGAACTCCTGAACTGGAGTGATCCTCCCGCCTCAGCCTCCCAGAGTGCTAGGATTACAGGTGTGAACCACAACGCCCGGTCTAACCTTTAGTCTTAATAGAAACCCCTAGTTCCTCTACTTTCCTAGTAGCATAGATTTTATTCTGGTAGCATCATGTGACCTGAAGTTCATTCGGCCAAGGTAAAAAAATAATCTACGTTTTCTTTTTTTAGAAACTAAAGTGTCTAACTGTTAAATAGCACATTGACATTTCAAAGCCTTTTGATTTATCCCCGTAATTGGCTACATTATTTTTTCTCTTGAGTCAGAGCCCTCTGTCTCCTGGGCTAGAGTGCAGTGGCATCATCATAGCTCACTGCATTCTCAAACTCCTGGGCTCAAGTGATCCTTCTGCCTCCCAAGCAGGTGGGACTACAGGCATGTGCCACCACGCCTGGCTAATTTTTCTATTTTTTATCGAAATGAGGTCTCACTCTTGCTCAGGCTGGTCACAAATGGTTACATTATTTTAAAGCCCTGTTAGGTGGTAGTCACTGCTCTTTCCTATCCAGTAAGAATCTGAGACCAGATGTATTTAGAAAAAGCTAAGTTACTTAATCAAGTGACCTGATGGTGGCCTTAGTTTATTTGCTAGTCCGAAAAAAGGGTGTAAAATGTAGTTGTAACTAGCATCCCCTCCTCTTTTTGCATGAACTTGTACCCACTGCTATTCGCAGTCATCTTGGGTCTCTTCACTGGTAATTTTGCCAAGTATTGATATTTAAAAAGCGGTCACAAGGCAGAGGAATCCAAAAGGGTTAATCTCTATTTGGGTGGATATCTCCAGAATTCATAAACCTAGGAAAAGTAAAAGTGATCCTTTCTAGAACTTAAGGTGAGGCCTGACTTCTTGATTCCTAATGAGTTCGGTCCTTGGCCTTTTGACTCATCTGGGATTTACTCTGGATGGTTACTAATTATTTGGAATTTTAATGTGTGTCATAAATTTTTGGTGTGATTCCCCCAGTACTAATATTTGGGTTAAATGTGTTTTCCTACTTCTTGTTTGTATGAGTATTAGAGAGAGATTGGATTATAGTAGAAATTTTAGGGTAAGGCTATATGGATTATGGATCTTTTAGGGAGCAAAAATTTTTTTTCTTGGTATTTCATGAAAAAGCACTATGCATACAAAGGTTAATATGGTCAAATTTTATTTTCTTTAAAAATAACTTCAGGCCGGGCGTGGTGGCTCACGCCTGTAATCCTAGCACTCTAGGAGGCCGAGGCGGGCGGATTGCTCAAGGTCAGGAGTTCAAAACCAGCCTGAGCAAGAGCGAGACCCCGTCTCTACTATAAATAGAAAGAAATTAATTGGCCAACTGATATATATATAAAAAAAAAAAATTAGCCGGGCATGGTGGCTCATGCCTGTAGTCCCAGCTACTCGGGAGGCTGAGGCAGAAGGATCACTCGAGCCCAGGAGTTTGAGGTTGCTGTGAGCTAGGCTGACGCCACGGCACTCACTCTAGACTGGACAACAAAGCGAGACTCTGTCTCAAAAAAAAAAAAAAATAACTTCAAATTAGACTGGGCGCAGTGGCTCACGCCTGTAATCCTAGCACTGTGGGAGGCCAAGGTGGGAGGATCGCTCAAGGCCAGGAGTTAGAAACCAGCCTGAGCAAGAGCGAGACCCCGTCTCTACTAAAAATAGAAAGAAATTAATTGGACAACTAAAAATATATATAGAAAAAATTAGCCGGCCCTAGTGGCACATGCCTGTAGTGCCAGCTACTTGGGAGGCTGAGGCAGAAGGATTGCTTGAGCCCAGGAGTTTGAGGTTGCTGTGAGCTAAGGCTGACGCCATGGCACTCTAGCCTGGGCAACAGAGTAGTGAGACTCTGTCTCAAAACAAAACAAAACAAAACAAAAAAAAAAACACTTCAAATTGTAATATGTGCTCACAAAGAAAATCTGGAAACTACAAAGAGTGGTATGCTTTTTGTTTAACTTGTAGCTCTTCAAAGGAAAAGAGAAAAAACCTGATGTGTAACATTTGCCAATTTCTAAGGTATAAATACTCCCTCCCACTATGGCCAGTTTTAAGCTACCAATACAACATCACCCAATGCAGATTTAAGAAGACATGTGCACTATGGGTTCATATGAGCCAGCTCTTACACAGCACTGAATGAATTTTAAAATCACTGGCAATCCAACTACATAGAGTTAAGGCCACTGCTAACATTTTGGTGTTCTTCCAACTACTCTTGCTATGAAAAACATACATATTTGTTCTGGTGAGTCTCGTTACTGCTTTTTTAAAAAAAATTTTCTAGCATATTATAGGGGTACAAATGATAAGGTTACGTATATTGCCCTTGCCCCCCACCCCTTATTACTGCTTTTTAGTAAGTACAGTAAGTCTTCAGTGTCCCCAATAGGTTTTTTGAAACTGCGACTTGAAGTGAAACCACATACAATGAAACCAATTTTACTATAGGTTAACTGACATAAACAAGAGTTAAGTTCCTACAGCAAGTTTCTCATCACAGAAACGTCACTAAACTTCTAAGTAAAGACCTAAAACATCTACTTCCACTTCCACTTAAAAAAAAAAAAAAAAAAAGACCTAAAACACTTCTAATATTAAACATTGAAATAAATGTGATCTATATATGCCTTTAAGAAAGGTTAATAAAAACAAGATATAGTAATTACTTATCCATTTTTTTGGTGAATCAGGGAGTGACAGTGGTCTTGGTTGTGTGTTTAAATCAAGAAATAGATGTTTGGAAAGTGAAAATTATAAGGAGCACCTCCTGTCACCACGTAGTTAAAAAAAAAAAAAACATGGTAGGCTTGCTGAGTGCTTTGGAACTGCATCATTTATTGTACATTTTATGATTATCATAGGCATTAAGAATTTTTATTTTACAGTAATTTGTATTCATTTATTCAGCCATTTTTCAACTCACTTATTCTGGTTCAGGGTCATGGTGCCTAGAGCTTTCCCAGCAGGCAGCTCAAAGAGTGCAAGGCTGGAACCAGTCCTGGACAGGATGCCATTCCACCTTAAGGCACACTCACATACATTCCCACACTCAATCAGACTGGGACAATTTAAACATGCCAATTAACCCAATGTTCACATATTTGGGATGTGGAAGGAAACCAGAGTACCCAGAGAAAACCCACAGAGACATCGGGACAATGTACAAACTCCACACATAGCAGCCCTGGTTGGGAATTGTTTTTTTTTTTTTTTTTTTCCCTCAATCAACATCATAATGAAACGATATAGGAGACCACATTATTTGAGGACCTGCTGTAAATCTGTGCTGTCTCTTTCAGATATCTGACTCTTCCATGTTTCTAAACTCAAATATTATGCATGCACTTAGGTAGAGCATAATGATTCAGTGAATTTATTTTAAAGATTCTAATTTTTGTGAAACCTAATCTCTAAAAAACATCATACAGGGTAGCAGTTAACAAATTGTATTATCAATTCAAATTTATTGTCTGTGACTTTGATGACAGCATATGTAGGAGTGGCAAAGAGACCATGATCCTTACTTGAGTCCTCCTCCTGATGACGCAGTGACTGATGACTGGGCAAGGACTTCATCAGAGGGGACAGGGCAAGTGATGCCCACTGGAAGCATGGTGAAAAGAGGTAGTAAGAAGTGCACAAAGGGATGTGTATAACCTATTGCTCAGAGTAACTTCTCTAAATTTGATCTGTTCCCAACAGATTCCATTTCACTGTTTCCCTCTGGGCTGCTAGCTAAGTGCCTGCCTCTCAGGATTCTGGTGGTGGTAAGGATATTTGTGTCACAGAAAATAAGCATTATTTTAAAAATATATCATTTTGATTTACAAAACAAAATGGCTGCAGGTGAAGATTTTCACAGCCTGCATGAGTGTTAATTAGAATCAGAAGCCTTGTCTGTGAGGGGTAATTGCTGAATTCAAATATGTGCACATATAAACTGGGTCTTATCAATTAAAGCCATGGCTGGCATCACACCATCAGGAAACCCCAAAACCCAACAAACCATCTGTTCCCTTGGACTTTTGACTAAAACAAAGTCATCCACATACAGCTATTTAGTATAAGTGAGTCATTTGGGTACTTAAATGCAAGGAAATTTTGATTCCTCTGTTAAGTAAATCACACTGTCCAGCTACTTACTGTTAGCATCTCTCATTTTCAGCTATTCCATAAACTTGTCTTCCATTCGCACATATAGTTGGGTTGGAAATGTCAAGGGACCACAGAGGGATGTTTATGAAATTCCATAAAAAATGTTTTCACTAAACTGAGGTTTATTGGTATTCTGGAGGAGTTGGTAATGACTTATTTTTTATCTGAGTCTGCTTTTTGCCCCTCCCCCTCTTCCTTGAACTTTTGCTTGAGTCTAGGAATCAATTTTGTCTAATTTCCAAATGTTGCATGTCCATGGTTTAGCTGGATTCATTATACATATACCCAGAGTGGATGGTAACTGGGTGCATCTTAATGACGTAAATATTGCCCTGACCTCCACAAGCTTTTTCTCACTTCTTGCTATTTTATTTTGTCACTTCTTAGCAGAATCAAGGGATATAGTGATATTTTATTAAAATGAGGGGCTCTCTTAGTACTTTGACCCTACTGTCACATTTCATGGCAAACTCTACTCATCACGGTAGGCATTTGTTGGAACTCATGCTTTTCATGGTGTTCTAATGAGTCAGAAGTGATCCAGAAAAGGCTGTGCCTTGATCTGACTGTCCAGCTATGGGGCTAACATGCATCCCTTTGTGCAGGGCTCTTCAGAGTAGAGATTAGCTAGCTACTCATTGGGTGTAGAAACCAGGCAAAAAATAGAAGTTTGTGTTTTGTTTTTATTTGTATAAAAGTAATACACGTGCGGAATTTAAAGAATCAAATAGATCCAGGAAGTTTATTCATAAAAACAGTAGGTCTCCAAACTAACACCATTCCTTCATTTCTTCCCATGTTTATCCAGAAGCAATACCATATGATTTTGTTATTGTAGAAAAAAAACTGGTGCTTGAAAACTTCTCAGAAAAATATGAAAGCACTAAAAGGATTTAAGATGTGGTTCTCTGGCCACTTTTGTTGTCTGTTCTTCTGAGGGAGAAGAATTACAGAGGTCGGATCCCCAGAAAAAGGGGATCAGGAGACATGGGATGACAAATGGGAAATGACCTATTACCCTTAGCGACCCACAGCCTAAAGGTGGGGAGAGAGCTGTGAACAGCAACGCTGTGTAGAGCTGCTCCTGAAGATGGGGATAAAGCAGACAGGAGGACAAGGACCTTTGGTGTGATTGGTGTCATGGGCAGTGTATGTTTAAGGCAATGTCTTCTGTCTCCTTCTCCCTTACTACTCCTCTCTGTGCTTCAACATCTGCCCAACTGGACAAGCAACACAGTTCTGGGATTTTCATTATGTGGCTCAAGATGCAGCCAGCAACTATGGAAGGACACATAGTCCTATGTGTCCTAGAAAACTATGATATTCTACAGATACCACCTCTGCCACCAACTTTCCGCTTTAAAATACAGGCATCAAAAGAAATGTCTTGTACTGTTGCCACTTGTTTTTTTTTAAAACTTTGATATGTCTTCATACCCTCTACCTTGTAGTTTGCTTCAACTAATAATAATACCTAAAGATGATTTTTAGTTGAAGAAGACATCAGAGGAGACTTTAAATTTTAGTACCCTTAAAGGCAGTCTCAGGGCTGAGGTGGGAGGATCACTTGAGCTCAGGGGTTTGAGGTTGCAGTGAGCTATGATGATGCCATTGCACTCTAGCCCAGGCAACAGAGCAAGACTGTCACACACACACACACAAAAAGCAGTTTAAGTTTGAAATGCATCAATTGTTTTAAATACTTAATTTAAATGTATTTTCCATCTATGGTCCATTTTTCAAACTGGTAACATGGGCTGTTAGCTCCATGCCCTTAACACTGTCATCTTTCTTAATCTGTTATTAATAAAATGACGAAGATTGAGTGCTCTTAATACATGAGCAAAGGATAGTAAGCAGCGTTCACCATCATCTTTTTATCACCCAGAGCCTGAGAACAATTCTTTTCATCCCAGAAAAATATTTTATTCACCAAATTGCAGAAGGAGATTTGGGCTCCACTGCAGATGATTTAAATACTAATTTCTTGGTAGTAGTTTTTCAGCCTGAAAAATGATAGCTCAAAGTCTTAGGTGTATAAGCTTCATGAGTTCACAGAAGACTGGGGGAGACAGGCCAAATTAGGCAATGTGGAAAGGAGTGGAGGAAAAGTATATGGGGGCAATTCAGTTATTCAGTTTACTTGTAAGGGGATCACAATCTGAGCACCTTTCATTCTCAGAATTACTTGTGTATTTGACTTTTTTCTTTCCAAATACCTTGAGCTAGATGGAAAATGATTAGTTTGGAATTGGATTGGATTGCCTCTGTTGAGAACAGTAACTTGAGCTTGTAGAGAAATTAAGGTGCTTGATACAATGCTCCAAATACATGTGAGGAAAAAGCAAATGGCAATGGTCATTTTGAATATATGAGAGAGTACTGTCCTCTTGCAACACTGAGAAATTGGTGATGGAGCCAGCTCTTTATTTTCCATTTTCCCTGTGAATTCTGTCTTTTGAGCTGGTATAGGCTCTGCTGTCCCTGCCTCTTTTGTGGCTTTTTCTTGGGCCTGTGAAAAATGGCTCTGGTAATAGGTGGCCTCTCAACCTCTTCACTTGTTTGTGGAGTTGGATTATCTGGGACAGATTTATGCAAATGAGCCGCTGTTTGAGGGTAATGTTCCAACATATTCCTTCATACAGTATTCCTTCTGCTTTTCCATAATCCAGTATCTTTATGCTGTACCATAATCTGTAGTCATGGTTGCTGCCTGTAATATTTCAGTTCCCTCTTGTGGTCCTGTAATGATTTTCAGGAGAGCTTAGCTGAATTTCTAAGTTTTAACTCCTTACATTGGTCAGTTTCTTTTTCTTATATTGGGCTAGTTCTGTGTGCCAGGTTTCAGTGCCTTCTTTTCTATGTTTTTTTTTTTTTTTTTTTTTTTTTTAAACAGGGTCTCACTTTGTTGCCTAGGCTAGAGTGAGTGCCGTGGCGTCAGCCTAGCTCACAGCAACCTCAAACTCCTGGGCTCAAGTGATCCTGCTGCCTCAGCCTCCCGAGTAGCTGGGACTACAGGCATACACCACCATGCCCAGCTAATTTTTTCTATATATATTAGTTGGCCAATTAATTTCTTTCTATTTATAGTAGAGATGGGGTCTCCCTCTTGCTCAGGCTGGTTTGGAACTCCTGACCTCGAGCAATCTGCCCGCCTCAGCCTCCCAGAGTGCTAGGATTACAGGTGTGAGCCACTGTGCCCAGCCTGCCCCAGCTTCTTAAAGGGGCTATTATGAGAGGAGTAAGAATTAAGAGTATTGTTGAATGCTGGGCCCTCAAAAATACCACCAGGATAACCTATTGGTAGGACAAAGTTGTGTTTATCATGACTGTGGTAAGAGTCTTAGTAGCATGTCAGATGTAGGCAGGCAAAGTGGGGATATTTGTGAGATTTTGGAGTCTGATTTAAGGTGGCTTTTTTTTCTTTGAAATACTGTCTCATTCAGTGTTATCATAGCTCACAGTATCCTCAAGCAATCCTCCTGCCTTACCCTTCCGAGTAGCTGGGACTATAGGCTGGGACTACAGGCGTGCACCACCACGCCTGGCTAGTTTTTAAAATTCTTTTGTAGAGATGAGGTCTTGTATGTTGCTCAAGTTGGTCTCAAACTCCTGGGTTCGAGTGATCCTCCTGCCTGGGCCTCTGTATAGTGCTGGGACTATAGGTGTGAGTCACCACACCCAGCCTAAGGTGCCTCTTTGAATGTAGAAGCTTGATTAGGATTGGATGAGGATTGTGATATAATAGTTTTAGGACTGGTGGACAGAACTAGGGAAGACTTTTGAGACAAGGGCTTTGATTTTAATTCTATCTGCTGAATGTCTGTTTGCTGTTTATTCAATGAACATATGTACACACACAGGTTTTTTTTTTTTTTTTTTTGAGACAAGATCTCACTCTTGTCCAGGTTGGAGTGCAGCATTTGAATATTTTTTCTGGGAAGCTTCTGGAATGAATAAGAGAGTTATTTATTATTTACAATTTTTTCTGCCTGTGCAAGATTTACCCAAAATAATAAAGTTATACTAATGAATACAGTAGGATAATAAAATTATATTAGTGAAGACAACCAGAGTAAAATCATGTTAATGTAGACTGAACTGTAAGGAGGTATATGCTTCCAGTTTTCAGTATACAGAAACACTTTGTAAATGGTAAGTATTTTATGAATAGTGTTGGTAACATTAATAAGGCAAGTGTTTTTCACTTTTGTGTTTTTAAGAGATGGGGTCTTACTCTGTCACCCAGGCTGCAGTGCAGTGGCATCATCATAGCTTACTGCAGCCACAAACTGTTGAGCTCCAGTGATCCTCCTACCTCAGCCTCCTAAGTACCGTGTTTCCCCCAAAATAAGACAGCGTCTTATATTTATTTTTCCTCAAGAAGACACCCTAGGGCTTATTTTCAGGGAATGTGTTATTTTCCCCTCAAAGCCTCAGCTTGCAGCATGCACAGGATGGCCAAGACCTGACAGGGGGAGCTGACCTTGTTGGTGGGGCTGCCCGCACCTTTCCGGTCACCTCTGGGATAGTAGCTGTCACGATGGGATAGATGAGAAGGGCTGCTCGTTTTCTTTACCGCTCCACAACGAAAGGTGTGGGTTGTGCTGAT